TCCGTTAAACGCATCCCAAATGATATCTTTCGCGTCGTTTCCGAGAAAGAATCGCCGCAGCGTGCAGCCCGCTGTGCTGCAATATCAGAGTTTATCAGGCACAATCGCTAATTGCATGTAGCCCCTTAGGGACTTAATTGCTGTAATGCAGAAAATTAGCACAGACTGCTGCCGTAAGTGTGCCTAGCGAGAGGTGCTTTCAGTCGCAACGGTGAGTTTTGTTCCCGCGTGAAGAACGCGCGTGAAATGCGCGAGAACGTCGTTTCTCCGATTGTCATTGATCTTGCTCGCGCGAGCACGCGCGCGCGTAATATCGCCGCTTCGCGACACTTAAGTAGAAAGCGCAGGTAGACGGCGGTGCGATAATCATCGCGACGGTTGTCGTCGTCCTTCTCGGCACAGCGACGCGCCGCCGATTTCTACGCGCGCGGGAACAATGGCGCTCCGTCTCGCGCGCGGCGGGAAAACGCGCCGAATGCGTCGATTTCGTTCGTACAGAGAGAAAGAGAGAGAGAGAGAGAGAGAGAGAAGAGAGAAGAGAGAAAAAAGGCCGGAGCGTTTCTGCGATTGCGGTAATTGGCGCGAGAGTAACGACCAACGGCGATGGCGGCGGCGCTCTTCTTGCGCGCGCGCGCGATCTCGTTTCATTCATCGCGACGCCGCAGCGGCGCGTTTTACCGTACTGTGTATGACCCGTGTATATGGGAATTAAATTACTCGTCTCGTTAGGCGCGCGTCCACGCGTGTACGAAAAGGAAAAAAACGCAAAGGTAGGAGGAGGAGAAGGAGAAAAAACAGAACGTGTCATTTTCTTAGCCGCGTCGCCGCCGCGGGTAATCACCGAGGAAGTTCAAGTGAGACTGCTGTTTCTCGCCGGCAAAAATCTCATATCGGGATTGTCAGCGAGCGAGCGTTCAAGCGCGCACGGAAGAAGAGAGAAGCAGAGAGAGAGCGAGAGAGAGAGAGAGAGAGAGAGAGAGAAAGGAGAGAGGGGAGGAAGAGAATGCGCTTATTACCGCAGCAATTAAATTAGACGCTCGCATTCGCGATGAAAGGCGGCGGCGATAAGTCAAGCGATGTTCGTATCTGGACTCATTAACGTGATCGTTAAGGTAATTAATATCGGCCGCCCTATCGTCCATTTATCATCGCCGTTTCCGTAATGATACGCCCTTACGTAACAACATTGCGAAGCCCGCCACCGAGGAAGCGCAACGCGCCCGGGAACCCGGGGATGTTGTCACACGAGAGATCGCGCGCGCGTCATCGCGCACCTGACACTTCGCGATAACTGTGCGACGCGCGAGCGTTCTCATCGTTATTGCGACGCAACGTCTCTCGTCGTCCGAAAATATTCGAATTCTTCTCGCAATTGACGCGACAGACGCAGCAGGACGATGTCGAAGCGCACGACGAAGCACGACGAAGCGGTCTCGCAAAATTTGCCAGTAGATTTTCGTAAATAAAAAGGACAGGCCTGTGTGTAAAATTCGCCCGTGATATATATGTTGCGACGTGACGATTTCATGTCCAACTCGAATCGTCCAACTTTATTTATTTCACCCAATCGCACGACGAAAGTCGGTATCACACAAATTCGCGCAAGTCCCGTTTTATTCAAAGTAGCCGATTTAATTCAAGCGAAGGTAAAGTTCTCATTTCCATCTCACGGAATCGGAGCGACATCGAAGCGCAGCAATGATCTTACCTCGATCGATCAAGCGGACGTCTTCGAGCCGAGGCCTCGCATCGGGAACGCACAACGCGACAAGAGTGTGTTGACTTTTAATGTCCGGCCATTGTCGGTCCTGACGATGACGACGACGACGACGACGACGACGACGACGACGGCGACGAGCACATGGACGTTCGCGCGATTTCAAGCTGTCGGCGCGACGGCGCGATCGGAAGACCCGAAGCCCGAGGAACGCAAACCCACTTCGATCCGCTCCGCTCCGCGAGACGGCCGGAGGTTTACTGACACCGGCGCGCCGCGCCGCGACCGGACTGCAGCGCGGCTTGGCGCGGTGCGACGCGGCGCGGCGCGGCGCGGCGGCAGCGCGGAGCAGAGCGGAGCAGAGCGGAGCGGAGCTGAGCGGAGCGGAGAGGCGAGGCGAGGCGAGGCGCGAGGCGCCTCCACCTGCTCGTAATGTAAGCAGAGTTTATCTGTGAGTTTATCCTGCGATGCGTCACTGCGACGGAAGGGACAACGCGCGCGGCCGTCGTAGCCGATAATCAACCGTTTTCTTGCCGTATGCATACAGAATGAGTACAAAACGGACGTCGGCCTGTGGAACCCGCTTCGCGAACGACCGCCCCAGCTGCGTGAATAAATCGGCGGACGACGAACCGCGCACGAACGTGACTTTTGTTACGCTACAGAGCCCAGGCGACGAGACGGAGAGAAAGAAAGAGAGAGAGAGAGAGAGAGAGAGAGAGAAGCTTGATCATAATATACCGCTAATGACGACGCTAGGGAGAACTAATTGATCGCGTAGGTTCGATTCCAACGTCGAGATGCGGTGACGTCCGGACGGAGAGAGAGAGAGAGAGAGAGAGAGAGAGAGAGAGAGAGAGAGAGAGAGAGAGAGAGAGAAAATCGCACTCTTCCGTCCCTCGAGTCGGTTTTCCCGATGTAATGAACGAACGGCGGGATTTTATGAGCAAAATTTTCCCCGAGGATATGGCGTTTACATCACGAGGTGGACTTTTTTTGCAAAGCGGTTTCTATCGCTTTGGATGGTCCTTTGAGGCCATTTTATTGGCTTGCGTATAATCGAATGGGGATAACGGGTTCCTACGACCGATGAAACGATCGATTGATTCCAATCGGTTATCGCTCGCGACCGGATCGCGGACGTAAAGTGTTGATTGTGATCGAAGGAAGAACGTCGGTGAATAGAATGAGAAACGGTTAAGAGAGAGAGGAACCGTTTCTCCGGTTTCAACACAGCGGTGGTGTTGCGCGCACCGGCCGATTAGAATTTTAGTCGACTCGAGTAATCGGCGAATGAGTAATCAAAAATGTGAATCGATCGTCATGTAAGCATTAATAATAATAATCGTGAATAATTTACTCGATGGATAACGTTAATTGTCAATCGGTCTTTATACTCGACCGAATCGAAAGGAATCGACTAAAACAATTATCGCATGTAATTATAATAATTATATGTTATACGAAACCAATTAAATATAACAATTACTATATTATAATTATTATATACAATTTACTCGATATTAATTTGGATCGTTCTAAGCGATTAAAACTTTAACCGATCAATGCCGAACAGTGCCGAACATAACGCAATGTAACACGATGACTATAAATAAAGAATATGCGACGCAAAAGTAACAGAAAATCTGTCACATTTGTGAAATCGAGCAAAATGGAGAGACCAAGTCCAACGTTTCGTTTAAAATATTTATGACACTCGTGACTCGCACGATCGCGATCGGACGTGGCGTGATATTTCGTTGGATGTTATAGCGCTGAAACTAGGATTATCGATCTAGGTGAAACACTTGATGTGAAACGAAACGGTTTCCACGGATAGTTTCCTATCGGACACACACGTGACAAAAATTAGTACGTTAGCTTCTGACGATATGCGGCGCGTTCTGCTCGAGTGGCAAAGAGATCTCTCCGTGATTTATGAAAATCTCTGCGGACTGTGATGTTCCACGCGCGCTATCTCGCGCGCGTCGCAAAAACATCGATTCATACCGGAAGAGGTAGATGCAATTCGCTCATTGCAAAGTGTTTATGTATTCTCCAAAGTCTTCTCTCGTCCACTTGAGAAAGTCCACTTGAGAAGTAAAAAATAACAACTGTCGCTCGAATTAAAGCAATTTTCCATCCATATGGAGTACACTGCGAACCCGGATGTGTTATTTTGACACGTTAACGCGTTTAAACGCGTCAAACGACGCGATTTAAGACAAGACAAGATACGCGTAAAGGAAGCTTCAGCTTATACGCGTCAAAATAACACACTCGAGTTTGCAGTGCACATTCTTCGCTCCGTGTCTCCGAACGGATATTTTCATTCTTGAAGAGTACATCGGATGTGTGCTTCGGCGTTTCACTGAAACGAATACATTTTAATCAACTAAAGCATTTACTCGTATCAAGAATCCACTTTAAGCCTGAGTGGAACATTCGCTCTTCCGATCAATGATTCTGGATGATGATGTTTTCACTATCACTTCGAGTGAAATTTCACTTTAAGAAATTTAGAGAGCAGACGTGTGTGGCATTTTTGTAATTAAAGATTATCGCTTTAATATATTAACTGCTGCATGGGATTTCATTGAACTAGAACCTTTAACTGACGATGGAATTATAAAAGACACGCAAATAAAAATGTAATCCACGATGTATATATATTTTTTACTTCGTTTTATGAACTCTCTATTGGCTGTGTAATCAATTTTTCAAAAAATTCTATTGGCTAGCTACTTTTTTTTACTCTTCTCACTCTACATTACAAGCCCACCATAATTTTAATATTGATGAACTATTTTATTTATTAATTTTCTTTAATTATAAAAGTAAAGATGCAACAGGAAGTGGTAAAACTATTGCACATGCACAAAAGAACACAATAATAATTCCAAGAACTGAAATATAGATTTTAGACTATAGAAATATTTCTTTTCTTAGATAATATTTCTTTTCTCTTAAATGAAACTGACATGAGAAATTGATTCTTTCGACTCATTTCTGTTATGCGACTAGAATCCAACTGAAATTCGAGCACGATTTCGAGTGAAACATAATTTCTTTCTAAATCGAATTAAATCGATTCCCGAAGCGACCGAGAGAGTCGTTCAAAGACGCCATCACCTTTCGTTCTACCGGTAATATCGTCGGAAATCGCAGGAAATCACCAAGATACCAGAGAGTATAGAGAGTTTACTCAATGGCTCGCGTGCAAGGCTCGAAGCACACATCTCACATTAGTAAAACAGTTCGCGCTCGCAGCGTGCAGGCTTACCTGTCGAAAGCAAGGCTGTCCTGTCGGTAATCGCAGGCGTTGCAGGTGCTGCATTTCGACGATAGATCGGTTTCTCGGTCGGTGTCGTCGCATCGATCCTGATCCTTGGATCGATGATCCACGACGACGCTCCACGTACGGTGGATAAGGTAGAACAGGTAGAGCGGCTTGCCTCGACGGCAAGGTTGCGACCTTGCGTTTCCCATTGTCACTCGGCGTGGAGTCCACCACGAAGATGACAACGCGAGCGCACACACATATCTCTCTCTCTCTCTCTCTCTCTCTCTCTCTCTCTCTCTCTCTCTCTCTCACTGCAAAGCGAAGCTTCTCACTGCTGTCTCACGCGACGCGCGCGGATTTTCGAAAAAAAAGATTCTCCCCTCTCGTCACGTCCCTCTTGCATCCTCTCGTCTCGCAGCCTGAGACTTTTGCAGCGACGTTCCGCGCTAATCGCGTCGCGTCCGTCGCTTGCGTTGCACGAAACGACGATCGGCCGCGGCGATTTTCCTCCTGCTGTCGCTCCTCCTGCTTTTCGCACTCGTCCGACGCGGTGGCTCTTCTCTCTCCGGGAGAGAATCTTGCGCAGGGCTGATTATCACGACGAGTGAAACTCTTTCCGCGTGATATGTGGCACGAGGATCGCACTCGATCGCATGACCGGCCATCAGGACCGTGGGATTCTAGACTGCGTGATTCTCGCATGCCACGACCCTGGCCTTCAGTCAGACTCGTGTAACAGCTTAAGTAACAACTCGTATACCTTCTCCCCGGCGGACGGCGGACGGGCAACTCGGAGAAGCCGGGTCTCTTTGTAATCCGCCTCGGCTCCCCCCGCCGTCCATCCGTCTACCAGCCGCTCCACTTAGATTTCCAAAGTGGAACTATGTTTTCGCAATGTTTCTGCAATAATACGTCGCTTTTGACTCTTACTCTCTCTCTCTCTCTTTCTCTTTCTCCGTATCTGAAAGAGCCTCTATTTGCATCGCGTCCGACAACGCGCGAGGAATTTCAATGCGCGGTTCGTAGAGTCCTGCACGTGCCAGAGTATCGTAACCAAACCGGCTGTCCGCCTGCCCATTCATTGGAATGGCCAACTGGAAGGCTGATAAACAGTTGTTTGGCTACAGGATGGGGGCAAATATCGGTTTATTCTTTCGGGTCGAATGCACGGAGGGAATTTTTCTGACAGATATTAACATTCGCACTCTGAGAAAGAGGCATATCGACTTGTCCGGCTAGGATATACTCGTACTGTTCAAAATATTCGAAGGCAGTGTAGGAAATTATTTTACATGTATGGTATAAATATTCTTATGGTAATGTTGCAGAGATATGCGAACAAACTGTTTTAATCAATAGTCGTAAATTTTCATACTGAGCGCGAATTATGGGACACCCGGTACGTGTTTTCCCTTAATTATCCAGACAACACTTCCCACACAGACACAAACTTCTAAAAGAGAGCCTTTTGAAAGTTTTTGCTTCCGAGTGCCAAAAGGTTGATATAACTGTATGATATGAGTAATCATATTTCGGTCGGAAGATTAAGTTAATCAGGTGATAAAGGTTCATAAATCAGGGGATAAAAGGTGATCAGGTTGAACTCGTTAAATGTTTCATTGTGTTTGACAAAACGAGATAATGAAACATGAAAATTTGATTGAAAAAATTAGGGCAATTAGTTCGCGTTATATACGTCATCCTGAAATTCAGTTTAATTTGATTCGGTCGATTGTCTCCACTTTTTCAAAGTATACAGGTAAAAACCTAGATATATGTGTGTGTGTGTGTGAGCAAGATTGTTCAATAAATTCGTCGAAATTTTTATGAAAAACTGAATTTGACTTTATGAAAGCCGGCAACCTCCCCCCCCCCGCCCACAGTGAGACAACTTTATTTCTCAGTGTTTAGTTGTCTTTTTTATAACCTATCATTGAAAAAATGGTCAAAATATATTACTAAATAAAGCCTTATTATAAATTATGCCTGATTATAAAAATATCGACTTGTAATTCTTTGCAAAAATTCCTATTTCATTGAACAACCCAATATATATGTACAAATCACCGTTTGGAAATGTTTGGAACATTTTGTAACTTCTCGATGTAATAGAAGAAATATAAGTATATTTATAAAAAAAAAAAAAAAAAAAAGATAAAGTTTTATCGCGAGATTATATACCGGACATTCGAAATTTTTGAGCGGTAATGTATGACGTAGAAATTAGGTCGGCGCGTCTCAAGTCGAGCTACAGGCTGCAATCGCAAAACTCCATTCGCGATTCGTTTAACTTCGCGCCCTCGTCGTTAATATCCGGTTTCGTCTCCTGTTCCCATTGTAGTCCGCTCGTTACGAACGAGCGTTCGCGCTAAACCGCGAACGTCCGCTCGCGTATCGCCGCGGATACTCGCGTTACTCGCATCGCCCGTGTGCGATTGTGTTTACACTTGCGTAATTACAGGTCGAGGCAACGACTCGAAAGTAGTATTTACAGTACAGCCGCGTACTGCATTTCCTCGTACGGAGCAAGGAGGGAGATTAAAATCATGCATGGGTGTGCGCGTCGTGCATGTGCGTACGCTTTTATGACGCGACTTTATTAAGATCCCGCGCGCGGGGAATGCCCGTAAATTACAGCCGCGACATTTACGTGGGAATGTTTTATGTCAACGTTACTTTCCGTTCTAATGAAAATCTATTTATAAAGCCGCGTAACGATCGCCTTCCCGAGTTAGCCTGCCCGTCAGTTCCTCCTCCTCCTCCTCCTCCTCCTCCTCCTCCTCCTCCTCCTCCTCCTCCTCCTCCTCCTCCTCCTCCTCCTCCTCCTCCTCCTCCTCCTCCTCCTCCACCTTCTCCTTTTCATCGCATTCCGGCTTTTCTGAGCTGAGCCTTCCAACGCTCTGCGGTCGTGCGCTCCTCTCGCGCTCTATCTCGTCTTTCGCCGCGCGAATTTCACTCGGCTTCGTCGACTATCCGCGCGACTTTTCGCCGCGTCGCACCTGTCGCTTTCGGCTGTTCACTATCGCGATCCCGATCTCCTCCTCCTCTTCGAAAGTGTCTTCGCAATTCGCGTATCGCGCGCTCACGCTTTCTCGCGATACCCGCATATTTACATGAAATGGCGACGCGCAACAATAATCGCGTGATTACCCGCGAGTTACACGTGTAATAACTTTCCTCCGGACCCTTTCGTTTTCATCTCATCGACTTGGCGGTATTTCCATTCGCCTCGCGAGACACGCACCGTCGTCACCGTCGCGTTCACGCTTTCCCACGAGTCGCGATCGCGCGATTACAAGATCGTTCGCGACCGCGCGCAGTCCTAAGTATACGTACTTGGTTTTTCTTCCCTTCGCTCGCTCTCTCTTTCTCTCTCTCTCTCTCTCTCTCTCTCTCTCTCTCTCTCTCTCTCTCTCTCTCTCTCTCTCTCTCTCTACTCCGGTCGCGAATGTCATTAGCGTCACTGTCACTGATCCGCCTCAGGTATTCCCACACTCGTCCACCGCGCGTGACGGCGGCTGTCCGATAGGGTCGCTCTAACGGAGAGGATGCGGTTCTTTCGAAATATTCGCGCCAGCCCGCCGCTCGTCGTTCCTCCCGACTCGACCAAACGATCGTGACGATTTTTTTGCCGGCGTAACGGAGCCGTCGCGATTATTTCGAGTGACTCGACTTGGATGCACACGCTAAGTGCCGCGGCGATTTATCTTGCCGGCATTATTCGCGCGTAAATCAAGTCGTCGCGAGCTCGCGCGGGCGCGTTTTCGAGCGTGTCGAGCTTAATTCCTCCCGAGAGATCGGCCTCTTTCGTCGATCAATCACCGGCTTCGACATTCTTCGGGATTCCCTGTTCTACGTCGTGTCGGAACCCGGGCCAGGCGGGAAAGAGGAAGGCAAAGGAACGGAGCCGATCGAGTTGAGGACCGACTTTGTCGTGCAAATCGGCGGTTAGCAGTCGTCGTTCGGCTTTCCCGAGTCTAAACGCGTACATTCAGCGTCCTATTAGCGTCCTGTATTATCGGTTTTCGCGGTGCTGCTCGCGACGCATTACTTACGGTACCGGCGAATCGAACTGGATTCGCTAAGAAAGCGCGCTACCGGGAAATCGTTGTTGGAAAACCTAGTGATCCACTGACACATGAAAAAGTCGTTAAACCGTTAGCATGCCGCTGTACGAATACGCGCGCGGCTGCATTTTCCTCCGGGGCAATGGCGAGTGCATTGTGCATTTATACAGGGTGTCCCCCGGGAACTGCCGGCCGATACTCGTATTTTGGAGCGAAAGGCTCCTGATCTCCTCTCGTCACGGAACTCTTGACCGGTGACGTCAAGTAGCGTCAAGTAGCGTCAAGTAGCGAGGAAACGCACGGCCAACATTCTTGCGAGCAATTTCCAACAGTGCGACGATTTATTATTTTGATTTGACTTCCGAATTGGGGCCGCGCCCATCTCGGATTCCTTTCCGACGTTTCATGAACATTCATCCTGTTGTTGTAACCATTTCGGGTTCTTCTCCCTGAAGAAGTGAAATGTTCAGGAAACGTCGGATTCAAGATGGACGTGGCATCGAACCGGAAATCAAATAGCTCTAGTCTAAAATCTCAGGTAAAAAAAATACTCGTGTAGAAAAATAATTCGTATTGAGTGATTTAGGGTTGTTTAATGACTTACAGTTACTCAGTTAGGGTTGTTACTGAAATATTTTGAAAGAATTTGGCAGGTATGCCCTAGCGATCTAAAGTGCTGATTTAATACAAATATTTGCTTGGAAATGGCATGGTAAGAATTTTCAACGTATCATTTCTCGTCTTTGACGTCGTTGTTATCCAATATGGCCGAATAGGAGCCTTAATTTTAACCCGAATCGAAATGTTGCTCCTGCTTTCAACCTTAATATTCTACTTGACGATAATGTAATACTCTACATCAAACTGCTTTACAAAAATATGCAAGATTGAAAATTTTGCGATAAACAATGAGCTCGCCTCATATTTTCACATTGAGGTTTTCCCATTCCGTTTCAACTCCAAAATACTACTACTAAAGGATGGAACGATATTCTTGGGACACCCTGTACACACAAGCCGCCTGTCTTGAGAATAATGTAAATCCCATTCCGAAAGAGCCGACAATCTATGTTTGCGAAACAATGTAAAGAGAAGAGAAAATGAGGGAGTTGACAAAAAGCATAAACCACTTTTAAAACAGGCCTGGTCTTACATGCGCGATGTTACATATTCAGTGAAAGTCAAAAGAGATTCATAAAACTCGATTGAAAAACAATTATCGTCGACACCCAGTAGAAAGTTATCTCTCTCGGATTTCCTTGGAAAGTAAAACGTCAATCGCAACGTAAATTCGCCAAAGCGCTAGACGGAGAGAATTTTTATCGAATATATAATATACCATGCGTGTGTGTGTCGCGTAACTAAAATAAATTTATACCAAAGTCCAAATCTTACGTCCATTAATTAACAGTTCGTTTAAATATCTTGTTAACCTTACCATACAACTTACGGGGAAAATATCGTGACAAAAACAGGATTACAAGAAAATTTGGGTCATCTCGGATAAGATGCAGAAATATGATCGGAATTACTGTACATCTGCGTTTAAAAAGTTTATATAACATTTCATCCGCTTTTCATCACACAATATTGTAATCTCTTGAATCTTTTGTTTCGTCACACCTGTTATTTATCATTTCTATAATCACTGAAACCATATGGGCCTTACAAAAGTATGCAAAAGCAAAAGGAATGAAATGTAAGCTTAATTTTTATCACACTATTTTCCTCCATGTATCAAAATGTATACCTCACATGTAAAATACTTCCATGTTACCTTTGAAAATGTTTCGGGTAATATGAGTATATTCTAAAGCCGGGCGAGCTCGTACGGTACTTTCTCACAGTGTCTCACGAATGTCGATATGTTCCAGAAAAATCCCCTCCGTACAGACCGGACGCTGCAATATCCCACGGCTCGAAACGCTCAGAGCCAACGCAGGCTAATACGGAAAATTTACTCACACCCACGTGTCGCGTTCAACAACACAGCTACGCAACTGGTAATGCGTTCGGCGGCGCTCTTGCGTAAGAGCGTCGGAACAAAGAACAATCTCAAATGCTCCGAGCGCAACACACAGACAACAATCCCATTGAATTCTCCGACATTCAACACACACAAGTTATTCATCCCATCCGTGGCATCAATTTCACCACCGACCGGCGTCGGCCGCGCCGCCAAGCGAAGCGAAGCGGGCCCTAACACCGTCGGGCGATTAGCGTTTGTTCCAAATCACAATCAGCGTTCGCGCCCCCGCGATTCTCCTTCTCTGTTACTCTCCTGATTTTTCCACAGCATCCTCGACACTACCTTTCGACGACCGCCGTCGAAGTCATCGCGCACGTTTCGGAGCACTCGGAGGTCTCTCCTCTCTCTCTCTCTCTCTCTCTCTCTCTCTCTCGCATATCCGTCAGTCGGAAATCACTACGAACAATGTTCATCAATCAGTCGTCTCGCTCCCCTTATTACGTCTCAGTTTATTTTTTTCTTGTTTCAAATTATCGGTTCATCAAATCGGTCGCCGTTCTCTCTTCCTCCCTCCCGCCGTCCCTCTCTCTCCCCCGAGAGCAGCTGAGATCCCCCCCGACGGAGCACCTCCCTCGACGCGAAATTTTACGGCCGCCAGGCACCGGAACCCCCGTGGCTGCACCGCCGAGCGAGATCGGTAAAAACGCGCGTATGAGAGCCGCGCGAGAGGCATTCACCGGGCGGCTTTCAAGAGCCGACTGCCACAACCCGCGAATGCCCCGAGGTGCACGTGTGCACATCGCCTCTCTCGGTTGCCTCTCCAACCGAGAGAGGAGACCTCGTCCTCTTCGTCGGCCAGCTCGGCTCGTCTCGTCTCGGCTCGGCTCGGCTCGGCTCGGCTCAGCGCGGCGCGGCGCCGCGCTGAGCCGAGCCGAGCCGAGCCGCGTCATGACTCGCGCGATCAGCCCGACGAGAGAGGACTGCGCCCAGCGCCCGCGGTACTCTGGGTCAAGTCGTGACCTACGGCGCGCCGATGCGTCGTGAGCAGTAGTCGAACACTCGAAAAGCGGAGGACCAAGGGGGGCACGGAACACACTGGGTCTCTCACTGGGTCATCAGCTTCGGCCGCCCCGGCACGAAACGCGTGTCACGCGATTCAGGACACGGCGCGCGTTAACGCCTCGCGCATTCCTGTCACCTCGGGACGCCCGAGTCGTCTCGGTCGTCGGTTTTGTTAAAATTCTTGCCGCGCGATCCCACAGAGACCGGAGAGAGAGAGAGAGAGAGAGAGAGAGATTGGGCGTTCAAAAGAATGATTTCAAACGTCTTTCGACGTAATTCAAGTAATTGCTTCCAATGTTCATCGGCGTTCTAGGGCAAGCCTTCCGAGAACGTAACGGCAGTGCGGCGACGGGTGAAAAAATATATGCGATATATGCGCGCAAAGAGACGAACAAAATGAGTGGTACTGCAGGAAAAATTTTTTTTTTTAATCGGTACGATAAGTGATGCTAAAAATAACAAGAGAGAGAGAGAGAGAGAGAGAGAGAGAGAGGGAGAGAGAGAGAGAGAGAGGGAGAGGGAGAGGGAGGGAGAGAGAGAGACAGGCGGAGAGTGCAATAATAGTAAAGAGAGGGTGGAGGGGGAAGAGAGAGAGGAAAGAGCCTTTCGTTCTGTAACGAACATACCGACGCACGACGCACCTGCCTCTCTTCAAATCCGAGCCTGGTCGCGGGGAATATGGAACGCGACCGCGGAATCCGCCCGGCGCTCTTCGCAAAAAGTGGAGTTCCTTCGGGTAAATTGACGTAATTTCGACGGGTATATGTAATAATAATGTGTCAAGCTTGACGAGGGATCGAAGGGTGCGATTCCGGTGGGATTAAGAACCTAACGAGCCTGACGTTGAGCGTCGCCGGACACGCAACCTATCATAATTCGTTATGTAGAACGGAAATAAACGGTTCTCTCTCTCTCTCTCTCTCTCTCTCTCTCTTCCTCTTCCTCCCGCGCGCGCACGGCAACCGGCATTTCAATAAATTCGACGCGATTCGATCGCCCCGAGTTCCTATGTTTCACGAGACGCTAAAAATCCTCTCCGATAACGGAACGCTAATTAACCGTTCGATTAATCACGACATTTGCTCACCGTCAACCTGTCCCGCCGTACTGATAACGATATCGCGTATGCAAAATGCGTGCGAGCGGGAACGAACTCTCTTATTCTCTCTTATTATTTTCAGCGTTACTTGTTACACCGATCTGTTTTTCATTTTGCCCCGTTCTATCGCTCATGATGGATCGCTCTCTGTGTGTGCTTCGCATCACAACGGCCGGATTGTTCCTTAATGCCGACACATTAAGCGCTCGGCGCGCGTTCGCTAATAATAAATACACTGTACTAATGACAGAACGATATCGGGCGCGTCAGCTGTGAGAAGCTCTAAAGAGACTTCAATTCTCTCGCGTAACGCGCGGCCGGCCATTTTTCCACGGGCCCGACAGCTTATTTACTTCGATAACTCTGTTTGTCGTCCATTAAAATTTCGTTCGCCGGTCGAGGCAGCTTGCGCGAATCCGAACGCACCATATCTCTTTTCCATTGTACAAACCGAGAGAGCGAGTGACCTCATCCGAGCGGATAATCCGCTTGATTTATCGGAGGCTCCGCGCGCGCGCGCGAGCTAATGCCGTGTTTAAACTCTCTCGGCGGAGCCCTCCGCTGAAATGTCAAATTCAGTTGGAGGGGGGACACCTTCGCCAATCGGAGAAATGTTATACCGAGATATCGCAGAAAATTATAAACATGTCGTGCGGCCGCTTTCAGCTTGCTCACGTGTTGTAACATTTAACGGACGTCGGTGAAGCGCCTCAACGATCCGGATAACTGTGATTTTCTTTTTACTAGTTTGGCTCTGGTCTCTCTTTCATTTTTTTTCCGAAGACACTTATGATTACTCAATTAAGGTCTAATAAATCTCTTCCGATAGTAATCTTCATCCACAAATGAGCGGTTGGTAATTAAAAAAGTGCCCCTAAGAGCGATTTAGTGCTAACCATCGATTGAACAATTCCGAATTCTCCAAGTAAGGAATAAAACAATTGTATTCTTCACTTCTGTCAACAAACAATGTCGTTTCGACTGGAATTCTCATATATATAACAATCGCTATTCTCGCCATTTCTTCCTCACGTTCGAATTTGCGCCTGAAAGAATCGCGCTTGACAATCTCACAGTTTTCCGCAAAGGATTGTCACTCGTTGATATTTATAACGTCAACGACGTCGTATGTGGATCTATACTCGTCCTAAATATACGTCCTAAATAATTCTTACTCTAAACTTTGTACATTATCAGTCGTAGCGAGCATGTGTTGAAATTGAAAAGCCGTGGTAAGTGTTGGAATATCGGCGGCGCGCGGTTCGACCAGTCACTCGTCGACGATATCTTAGACGTCGATAGTTAATATGAAACGTCTGTCTGTTTGTTGTAGATCTGCACACCTTAATGCGTAATCGCGACTCGCCTACTTGTCGGTTCACCGCACTCGGCGAGCCCCGGGCGCACGCACGTCGCGCGCGGCTTTGGTTTTTCGCACGCTGACGGTCTCACTAGGTCAGCCCACCGCGAACTCTCAGTGAGGTTTCCTTAACGAAAGGTAATCAAGTACCGCTGCGGTGCGACGAGGAGCCCGCAAGAAACGCGGAATTTCATAGCCTGTAATCGCGCGGCGGCCGATGAGAAACGTCGCGAGATTGAGTTCGTGATGAATCAACAAAACGGAAAATGTCGTCGCCGTTCGCCTCACGATCGCACCGTCGAGGTCTCGCTGACGACGGCGATGTATCACTCGATCTGGATTTTGGAACGCGACACCGCGGCGAAGATTAATTAGCGAGAGACGAAAGTACCGAACTCTCCCGGAAGCATCGCGAGAAGAGTCAAACTCGCCCACGGCGCGACGAGTAGTGGAAGACGCGCGCCGCGCCGCAGCGGTCGATCGACGAGTACGCTTATAGTTGCAAAACGATGTAGAACGTTGGAAAATAAGGTGCGAGTCAAAGTATCGCGATCGCGAGAAACCGCCACGGACGGGTTTGCGCAGCGCGCGTGTCGTACTTCCTGTTTGTCAGACGGAAAAAATAATTACGTTAACGCGATTGAATTTCCCGTTGCCCAGCGCGAAAAAGGACCGAAAAATGGAAAAATCCGGTCTCTGGGAGCAGAAAGATCCCTGCCGTGTCTCGAGTGTCTCAGTTTCCCAACCAAGTCAGCTCCCTCTCAGCTTAACACGTGTATTATTAATTTATTCATTTACTTTCACGAGGAATTACTCGGTCACTATTTCGGACATTCATCTTGGGAGTTTTCTAATCGGCCAATCGTGTTCGATCGTCTCAACCGAGTTTTAACGCAGCTGATTGCTCTTCGGACAAATTTCTTTTCCAGTCGCGTCAGCAGACTCGAGTCATCGTCTCTCGTCATCGAATTTTCGTCTGGCCTCTCTTCATTTACACGAAGACTGAGGCTCCTTTTTCGTGCAAATATCACGCTAGATGCAACAGTTTGGGGATGAGTCCCTCAAAAATCATCGTGACCGATTCAGTTTTATGGCAACACTTACAAACATGTACAAGTATAAGATACCGTTGGAAAGACGATATTTTGAACGCTGACTTGCCGGAATGAGTAAATCGTCTTTTCATAAAACTACTTAGAGTCTTTTTTCATAAAACTACTTAGAGCCCATTTTTCCGTCGCGAGATCTATCAGAACTTTTGCACTCGCTCGATGTAACACACACACACACACACACAGAGGCGATATTTACATCGTGTACTGTTACTTTGACTGCCGCCATTACGCCGATTACATCGCGCGAGCCTGTTAATATTGGCTCTCGATCGTGACAACTTGATGCGCTTCTTATATCATCGTGTCTCAACCATTTTGCGATCCAGCGTCGCCTCTCTCCTCTCTCTCTCTCTCTCTCTCTCCCTCTCTCGTCGCCTCGATATATTTCGTCGGCGACAATAAATCTCATTACCTAACCCGCGACAGGCTCTTCGCGCAAAGTCACGACGGCCGCAGTCGAGCACAACTGGGCCGCGCGCGTGGATCGGCGCGGGTCACGTCTCTCGCGCGCCTGACCCAAAGACATAAACTGATACTAATGGGCAGCGTAAATCTCCCGACGAGTCGAACAGGTTTAAGATTTTACGTCCCGAGGAGAGTCGTTGCTCGGTAGCTCGGTGCTCGGACAAAAGCTCTCTCTCTCTCTCTCTCTCGCGCGCGCGCGCGCCGATCGTCTCGGCGGACGAATTGAGCGACGGACGCGGAACGTCCTTAGGCAGCTCTCGCTGCCTCCCTTCGCTTACCGTCGCTTTGAAAAGCGACAGGCAAAGGCAGGAGGGCAAAGGCAGAAATAAGCCAGCCCGGCGGATTAAGTCCCCGGCTGACCCGAGATAAATGCTGCGTACTGTACTCGTGTCTCAGCCAGCACGAAGAGGCGACGTCGCTTCCGGGTGCCAGTGCACTACGTCGGGAACAAGGAAGCGCCGCGAAGAATATGGTAATGAGAGATAAGGCCCTGGGTTCCATAATAATTCCCACACGTAGCGCCTATGGTGTGCGTACGCGTGAGCAAACATTTCGCCGCTCGACGCGGCGTTTCCATGCCGATGAAATTAATGTCGTTCCGCCGGGGCGATCGGGTGATTTACGTCGGTCTGAGTCGTCGGCCGTCGGCCAAGTCGCGCGCGCGCGCGAGGGTTTAGCGCCTCCGTGGTGAGTTTCGACATGGCGGAAATACTCCCCGGGTCTTTGGCGCAGACACGGCTGAAAAAGCGCGCGAGTTCAACGAGTACGAGGTAACCGTACATCGCGCGCACGATTATCGTCGGTCTGGAAAAGAGCCGTGACGCAAGCGCGCACGTCGCGGCACCGATACGCTGTGGAAAAAGGGATCAGCCGGTGCGAGCTCGATACGAGCGAGTGCGATTTCGGGGTTATGCGTGGCGGACTAACGGTTATCATTCTTCCAGCCGAACTTTGCCGTTCTCTTAATCTGCTCTTTATGCAAAACAGCCTACGAACTTAACCAGGCGACCAGGCGATCGTGAATCTACTTCGACACATTGGTCGTATACACAGGGTGTCCGTGGTTAGTTTTAAAATTAGTTTAGAAAAAACAATTAAAATTGACGACACGCGACAAAGCTCGGGTGCGTACAGAATAGGTCGAGATCGGTGGAAAAGTTCTCTTCCACTCTTGAAGCGATCGCGTGGAGCTTCGAGTTATCGTTGAGAAGATGAAGACTGGCGTATACCAGCGCGCGCAACGAGGTGGAAGTGATGTGTCGCGTGTTGCGACGTGGACACCCTGTATATTTATCGTCTCATTCGCACAAGGCTTCTGCTCGTTCAAGCGAGATTCCGCGTTGACGGTGGCGACAGTTCTCAGCGGTTAGAATGAGAACTTTGCTAAAACGTGCTTTTACAAAGTGTTATCGCATGATAAGTGAATTATGTTACCCATTGGTCGAACCCATTGGTTGGATAATTTGCAAAGACCAGTCACAATGCTCTCTAATAATTGCTACAAATTTAATACGTCCATAACGTATCGTTATGGGTATTTCACCGTTTCTCTAGATTTATCTATGCTCTCCGATTACACGTGTTTATATATGATAACAAGTGAATATTTGTTTTGACCTACTGCAATATAGAGAGTTGCCATCTTTCCACTTAAAAAATTTCCACACAAAAAATTAGTTGACTACTATAGGTAAACAAATGTATAATTATGATACGTTGACTGAGAAAATAGGGTGATATCGTCAACGTGATTTAAACTCTTTGACATCGAACGTTTCTGTCAGTGAAAATCCATTTAGGATTATTCTTTCGGGATCGTATGACGTGTTCAAATGTCCGTGTTATCCTCGATGTAGCTGAAAGAACAGTCGGTATCATCAAGACTCTTGGCTTACCTCCAGACCCCTCGGGGCCCCTTTGCCAATACGGAAATTTACTCAGGGCTGACACAGTCCTTAGCATTACCTCGTCGGTGCTACTGCAATCAGCACTTACTTTTCTTTCCGCGTGAACACAACCGTTGCAGAATGCAACAATATGTACCAATTGTTTCAACGATTAACTGGGTTTCAACGACCAATGGGAGCAACGCAGCTTGTCATACGCTTATCATTCGCTTATCATACGCTGAAGAGGAGACGCTTCAAAAGGCTTTTTCTTCCTACCGTCGACGACTATCGCGCCACCGTCGACGCGGAGTTCCTGCCTCAGGAAAGCAAAAGCCTTAAACGTACGTTTTCATTCGCCTCCCCCTCCTCCCATTCACTCTCTCTCCCTCTCTCTCTCTTTCTCTCTGATATTTCCACTTCGGATAACAACGGGACGTGAGTCGAGAACTCATCAATACGACTCGCACCAAAATCTCGGTCTTAGTAACCGGGGTTATTCATAGTTTCTAAAGTGACGTATCGTTTCGAAAGGAAAGCGCGATCGCGCCGAGAATGGACATGGTTGAATTTTAAAACTAACCACGCGCGAGCACGCCAAAGCGACAGGACGATATATAAGTTAATTTATATCATCGTTAGCGCGAGCGATCGCTCTCCGTTGGAAATTATTCACGTGACACGTTTTAAAGACGAATTGTCACGCTAGCATGCGACAGTACGAAAACAGCGCGATGTCATGAACCTTCCGACGATATGCGCGACGTTTATGCTTGGCGGTCGTGCGCAACAATAAAACTGGACGGGATATACGAGGGGGAAGATAGATCAAATGAAACGATTACATACGCATACCGCTACTCTCGCGTGAGATAAGTGTGAGGATATAAAAAGAAACGAGAGAGTCGCGCCGCGAGAGAGCTTATATTTCGACCCGCTGCAATCTGCTTCCGCTGATTCATCGTCAAACACTCGCAATATTTCGGATCTTGCGAAATTTTTCCCGGCGAAACTCGCTCGCTCCATTTACCACCTTCGGTCCCCGGCAGATGTTTACTTCGAATTCAGAAAGACCAAAATAAGCAGAACGAGTCGCTGCTCCACTTCCCGCGGCGCAAATAATACACGTACAGAGAAGAGACTCTTGCGAGCATTTATAAATGGACTCGAATGTGTTGACGCGCGTGGCGGTTTAAGGATAAATTGGATTTTAATTGCGCCCCGATCGCGCACCCTGCGTTGGTACACCACGGCGAGCGAAAGTGAAGCAGCGCGCGCACGACGGACACAAACGGACACAACAGGCATTGGAACCGCGCTGTTGTTGTCGGCGGGACTCCCCCGGCCGGGCATTCTCGCGAATATTATTTCCCCGCCTTCGTAAAACGAGGGTTACCCTTTCGGCGCTGCGACGCGAAACGCCCGGAGAACGACGGGGGATGCGGCATTCCCGCGGGGAAAAGGCCGAGGTAATTTCGATTCATCGCGGTGGAAGCGACGCGCGATCGCGCGATGAGTCATGACAAGAAGCGCTCGTTTCACGTGCACTAAACGTGCTCATTGTCCTCCGGCAAAAGAAACATTGATAAACTCCGCTCGCGCGGAAGCGAGCAGGTCGGGAAGAATCGAGAGAGAGAGAGAGAGAGATCGCAGCATCGGTGCGGATCGATCGACCGATCGATCGATCGATCGGGCCGCAAACTCGCAGGGTCGCGAAAGGTCGCGTCGGGCGCGAAATCGCAGAAAAGCGCGCACGCGAACACGAAAAGGGCGCTAATGGAGACGTAGTTGAAGAAGAGACGGGCAATCGTCGGGAAAAAGGACGCAGCGAATGACGAGGCGAACGAGGCGAAGGGCTCGCGAGGGGCGGCGAGGAGCGCGGCGGGGTGGAAGGCGAAGGGAAGAAGAGGAGGACCAAGGAAAAACGAAGAAGGATGACAACGGGTCTGACGAGGGTAGAGCGGAGTGAAGACGGCGAGCGGGGGGGGGGGCTCGGCGGGGGCGACGGGGAGAGCGGGGGTGGAAGGCCACCGAGTGACAGGGAGAGAGCGAACGAGAAGGAACGCGAGGGAGGGCGCAGGATCGGCTCTGAATTTCCTTTCGCCTGCAGCGAATTTCGCTGTGCGCTCGGGAAGCCGCCTTTCCTTTCGCGCGCTCCGTCGCCGCCGCGCGGCTTCCGGCGCGCGCGACTTCACGTGGAATGTGACATTCACGCTCCGATTGCACTGCGGATTTTTCGACCTTCAACCGCGTCGCCAAACGCGGCCCTCTCGGCGTCTATCTGACGGTCCGACCCGAGGAGATCATCGCGGCGTTCATCGTCGCGACGAATAAACCCGAGAGCTCCTCCCGCAAGTGGATATTTCGACGGATTGTCTCCGCGACCTTGGCAAGCGACGCTCGCGCTTCTGCGAGACTCCTGTGAAATTCGTCGCGTGTGAAATTCCGAACGACGGAACGACGAAGGCGCGACGCCTGCGAGAGGAGAAGAAGCCAAGAGGATCCGATTCTCACACGAGAGACACCGAGAGAACACGTGCTCTCTCTCTGTTGATACCTAGAGCCGCTCCTGGAGGAGAGAGCGACGTATTAGAGGGGGCTTCCGCCAGGTAGGGGAAAGGTGGCCAGACGGGCAGGGTGGCGGGCTCAGGGGCGTGCGGAGGGGGGGGGAGGGAAGAGGTAGGTGGGCACAGGGGCGAGAAAGAGAGAGGTCGACGGAGCGATCCGCAGGTGGGAGCGCGATACATGGAACATCGCGGAGGGGAGGAAATAGACGCTCGCGAGAGGAAGGGGGAGAGAGAGTACGGGGGTGGCGGAGTGCGCACGGTGCAGCGCAGTACGGGGGGAGGGGAGGAAGACGGCGGAGACTCGCTGGCAGTCTCGTTGATCCGGCTGTGAGCAGTGCGCGCCGTGACGTGACAATGGCGGCAGTCGTAATTGCGGTACGGTGCGTTACTGTGATCAGCTGATTGACCGAGTCCGAGCGAGCGAGCGAGAGAGCGAGAGAGAAAAATAGATAACGGGAGGGAGGGCGAGAGGACGAACGAGCGAGAGAGCGCGCGCGCGCGCGAGAGAGAGAGAGAGAGAGAGAGAAAAAGAAAGAAAAAGAGAAAAAGAACAAAAGGAAGAGCGCGCGGGTGTTCCGAAAAAGAAGCTGCTCGAGGAAGAAGAAAGAGAGGCGGCTTGAGGCGAAAGCCCTTCGCGACCGCGCGCGTTGGCCATGACGTCGTCCTCGTGATCGGCGCTGAAGGTGCTCGTGTGCCCTCTCGTTGTATGTGAAGCGTAGCCGTACACAGCTCCCCCCGCCGGCAACCCTCCTTTCTTCCCGTATCTCGCCGTCGCCGTCGCCGTCGCCGCCGCCCCCGCCGCCGCCGCCGCTGCGCGCGTACATCCGTCGTTCCGCTCCGCTGTGTTGTTTGTGTTGGCCACGTATGCGTGCGGTTCGTGCGACCGGTAGATAAATGTCTCTCAGCCATGCCCGCCGTGCGGAAGTACCGGAGGGATACCAGCGAGGTGAGCTGCTGCCTCAAGTACGTGATCTTTGGATTTAACGTCATGTTCTGGGTGAGTACCGGCGCCGAGAGCAGCGCTCGCGCGCGCTACAGAAAGAGAGAGAGAGAGAAGGGGAGAGAGAGAGAGAGAGAGTCGCGCGCGCGGTGGTCGACGCGTCCCGCGAGATCGCGCGCGTCAGGATCGCAGGACGCGGGATATGACGTTGCCTCTTTCGCGTAGCTGCGCCTGTCGCCGGGCCGCTGACGAACGTCATGAGTCTACGTGGCAACGGCAGGAGGACGTGGCTCCGAAGGAGCCTCCTTTAACCGACGAGAGACTCGCCGTGTCAGAAATCGCGCGGACGTTATCCCCGAAGGAATAAGATCCTCCAAGGCGTGTCATCATCGGAATGGAATTTCCTGCGACTCTTTCGCCGAGTATATCACAGACGAGCGCGACATCGTCGTCGTCGTCGTCGTCGTCGTCGTCGTCGTCCTCGTCGAAAGGATGATCGCGCGTTTCGCCTCCTTAGAGTCCTCTTTAGATCGCCTCCGTAAAAGTTCCGCGGCGCGTTACCGTCCGGATAATGATAGCTTCATTAGCAGTAAACAGTTAAGCGCAAGCTACCGCGGCTCGACGGAGGGAAGTTTCGGTAAAAGCTCCGGCATGTCGCGCAGCCACCGACGCGCTATCGCGACGTTACGCGGACTTTGCGAAGACATTATCGGCGCGCGCGCGCGTGTTTGCCGCGAGAAACACAACGTAGCAACGGACAACACTTTGCAGAGGGTCCAGCTGAAATGCTCTCGCGTATCTTCCAGCCCTTTGTCCTGCTTGTTGCAACGGCCGAGGGGGGGTTTATTATCGCGACGCGTGCGCGCGCCAGCGAGCGCCAGCCTCCGCGCTTTCGAACAGGGTAGGTACATTGTGATGTTTAGTCTAACAACGATCTCGTGCAAAGTGAAAATATTTGTGGACTGTACGGCGATCGTTGCGCGCGGTTGTTTCGCGATGAAACGTTCAACGGCGAACGGCAAGCACTCGACACGCGTGTGCGCGCGCGCTTGCCGAGAGAAAGAGAGAGAGAGAGAGAGAGAGAGGGAGGGAGGGAGAGAGAGGATGAAAGAGAGAGAAAAAAATTGGAGCACTCCGTATATCTCGAGCCACTGTGCGCTTCTCATCGCGCTTCTCCGCGTTCTTATCTGAATGACGTCAAACGGAAAAGTCATCATCGGCGCGCGCGATTTGTATCGATTATACTCGGCGGGCGCGCTTTTCGTCTCGCCGTCTCGCGGAGCTTCCAGCACCCTCGGCGGGGCGAAATCTCCGCCGGCGGAATGCGATTACGTCCGTCATGTCGGCCGAAGAATTTCCGCCGAGGCGTTGTGTAGCGTGCCGACAGTTAGACAGATGTCAATTACGATATATCTCGCGCTCCGCGTGCTCTCGAATAATAAAATCTTATTTATCGTAAGAGGATCGGCTTGCCGTGTTGTGTAATTTGCTCCCACGTCAATCTCTCCCGCGTGGTATAAACGTCCGTTTCGACAACCGAAGGCGATCGGGTAAGTATCTCTCGGACTTATCGCGCCGCTGTTCGGATCGCCGGCGCGATCAATACGCCAAGATATTCGTATCTTTGACTCTCCGTATGGCTGTTTCACAGTCGGCCAAAAATAACGTTCAACGTTGGACATTCAAGTAGATAGTGTCGACTGGACCGTCTGTCGAATTAATTCTCTGCGTTTCCGACAAATTGCATCGAACACATAATCGTCATTGTTTCGGCGGGGACGATTTTTCGACGGGGCTCGATCGTCGCTCACCCGAGCAGAACATCCGTCCCACGGCCGTATTAAAACCCAGTCCTAGGTTTCTAAATTTCAGATAGGGCCCGGATAACTTTATCGGATCCGGCACGCAATCAGGAGCGAAACGCACTGCTGCATAATGTCCTGATAAAATTGCCCGAAATCGAGATACCTGATCAAATGCCCATCAGCACCAAATCAGGCATCCAAATAATGACGTCATCGCTGCTCGTCAGGGTATAATCCGGAAAATATTGCAAGACCATTGCCACATTCCGACCGGATAAGGTCCACTTGTAATGCCTTCTTATGGCTTGCCTAGTTATGCCATATCAGGCATAAAAAATTGCCGTATTTGATTTCTGCTCGAGCAGGTGAGAGGAAGCTCATCGCGAGCTGCCTCTCTCTCTCTCTCTCTCTCTCTCTTTATATTATGTTAATGCATTCTTTAACGTTCTGTATGATCACGGGTCTCGCATAGCCGTCGGCGTGTACCTGTCTTTCTAATGTAACCCAAGGGGTTGTTTCCCCAGGGTGTCAATAAACTATCTATCTACCCATCTATCCATCTATCCATCTATCTATCTATCTATCTATCTATCTCTCCCTCTCTCTCTCTCTCTCTCTCGTCACGCTGCATTTTTTCCCGGGCCCGAGAATGCCGCGAATGGCCCGCAATGCAGCTCGTGCGCGCCGCGAAGTGTCCCAATTGCGAGCACCGCGACGCCATGCAACGGGCATATATGCGTTACGGAGCGCATATCGCAGCGATACTTGCGGTGCGCATCGGTCGCGCAAGCCACTCGAGGACTCCGCAGGATTCAGTGTCCTCGCGAGATGAAAATTACCATGGAAACGCATCGTCGTGCAGCCGCGTACATATCCGCGAAACGATACGTTTCTTTGCGCGTGTGATATTTTTCTTTGCAGTCGCACGAGTGACACCTCATCAATTCGCACTCTCGTCGATTTTCTCTTAAGCCTCTGCAGCGAGTTAACGCACGCGATCGACGCCCTCCCCTCGCCTCGATATCTCTCGCTCCGACGAGATGAAATCCGCGATTAAAGCTTCGGTCTCGGTGGGATTACGAGGGCGCACGCGGTGCGCCGACGCGACCGCGCGTGTTTCTCTCCGGTAGCGACACCGATTCCGTTCGAAGAGCGTTCAAGGAACGAGATTCCCGAGATTTCGAGCAGTCGTCTGCCAGAAACCAAACCGGTCTCGCATGATCGTCGCGACACGCGACAGTCGATTGCGCGAGAGAGATGACAGCTTTACGAAACATCTCTTGTATTTATGGAGACTGAAGTATTGATTTAACTGTTGCATTTGTATCTGCTATTACGATTACATTTTTGGTCACGTTGATGCAATCAATAGCAATGAATTCGCTAAAAATTACTCGTAGATTTTCGCATGACACTTGGAATACTTTGCTATAAAAAAAAAAAAAAACGAAGTCACACATGATGAAAAGTATTCGACCTCATTCAGTGACGTATCTTTGCAATCAATACGTAAGGTCATTGGATGCTGCAGACGTAATTGAATGTGGACCGCTTCTTGGTTATCGGCGCATAAAGTAAGACAGACGTTACGCAAGACTCAAGTGGACGGACGTCTCGATTTCGACGTATAGGTTTCGAGGACTCGGATACATATAAGATGCATATAAATTTTACAGCAACTTTTTTCCGTATTGTCTTCTTATGCATATATAGATAAGTGCTAATCAAATATATCTATATCACTCAAGTGATAAGAAGTGGTGTAATACGTTAGGGGATTCGATATCCAGAAAACGCTCTAAAACCGGTAAACTGGCAAAATTATTAAATGTAATATCAATTGAATCAATTCAATGGCGCAATTGAGAAGATTCCAGATAAAATTATCGGCAACATCGAGAAAACGACAGAGAAAGCGAGAAAGAGGAGAGCGAGAGAGAGAGAGAGAGAGAGAGAGAGAGAGAGAGAGAGAGAGAGGAGGAAAAGTAATAAATGGGGAATCGATCGAAAAGAACAAAAGGGCAGATTAAAAAGAGCAATGTAACAAGATTACAGATACTTTTATCTTATTTTGCTTCGGTCGCCAGCTAAGTACATTTTACTTTGTACTTTCCACAATTAACGGATGGTGCATCTGACCAACGGATAATTTTCCCAAGACAACTACACATAACTGCTTGTTTGACGAAAAGGTCATCCATGATTGTGTCCAGATTAATACTTCACCAAGGCGATACATATTGCGCAATAGGTCGCGAAACCCTAAAGATAGCCCACTGTCGTGTTATAACAACGCAGACTTGACGAACTCTTCTACACTCCACAAAAAGCAGCACGTCACAAGCGTGTTTGGATCTCCCGGTGAACAGATTCGACACTCGAGCAAATTGACACCGCTCGAGTGAGTTCTCTCACCTTTCGCACGTCAATCCCGTCATCTTATGTCGGCAGGTTTTACGCAGGTCGCGCGAGGTCGCAGCCGAATTTACAGACACCTGTCCGGCTGGCTAATTGCTCAGAAGGACGAGCCGAATGAAACGAAGATAAATCGCCGGGAGAGTCGAATCAGCAGAGCCCTCTCCTTCGAGGGAGGAGCCGACGACGGAGAGTCGCGCAGCGCACGCACGGCTTCGCAACGCGTGCCGCGGCCAGACACATTCGCGTTTTTAAAGAGGATGGCGCGAGAGCCGGCAAATGAAGGATTATTTCATTCGCGGGCCGACGCGGCCGGCGCATCGCGTCGCGTCGTCCCCGTTGATTTACGTGCTCGTTCGATCGCGCGAGAGCGCGGCCGGCCGCTCTTCTCTCGCCGGATAACGCGATACACGGCGATAGATCAATTCCGCGCGGCCGTCCGCGTCCGCGTCCGCGTCGCCGCCCCGACGCTGACGCGAGCGTTGTTTACAATTGTAATTTTATTTCCCGGCCGCGCGATCTTCGGCCTTTACGCCTTCGGCGAATAGAGCTACTTGCTTTTGTTGCGCGTGACGTAACGACGACCTGGCGCGACGGAGATGTCAAGGCGGCCGATTGACGAAAAGTGCGCGCGGCAGATTGCGGTTTACCGCGAAGCCGTGCGGTGTTTGAGCGGCTCACACGCGGGACGTGTACCGTGTAAAAACCGTCGCCGTCTCTCGGCAGCCTGTTCAATCTCTCTCTCTCTCTCTCTCTCTCTCTCTCTCTCTCTCTCTCTCTCATTGGACTGCTCTCTTCTCATTCCTCCCCGGGTCTTTCACGCTTAATTGCAGCGTC